TCAGACCAACCTTGTCCTTCATATTGCGAATGGCGGTGATAAAGCCCAGACTTTGTTCGTCCTGCTGCAGCCAAAAATTTTCCAGTGAGTCGAGCATCTTGACAGCCTCAGAAGTTGTTACCTTGACTGGTTCAGTACTGTCATCATCTGCACCATCAGCATCTTCTACAGCAGCTTCACAATGCAGGTAATCTTCGACAATATCATCCGCAGTTGGCAAAAAGGTGACAACTTCCTCGACTGGGTAGTTCAGCAGGAAGCTAATTGCCATAGGGTTCCGGTAGTGGAGTTGCTTGATTTGGGACTGCAAGTCCTGCATGACCTCATTGTCAATGGGGTCCAGATTGGCAAGATGTTGTGCAGCCACTCCCTCCTCAGTTCGGATCTTACAGTGATGGAAACAGTTGCGGATGGCCTCTGTTTTCACATTAGAATTCCAGGCTTGGACGGCGATGCGGATAGCTTGAAGGTCAATCTTCTCTGGGGCTTCCACTTGGACTTCGAGGCGTTGAAGCAGGATGCGGTTGAAGCGCCTGCGGTAGTATGCTTTGAAGCTCCTGATAATTCCTGCATCGCACGGTTGGGTTTTTGACGTGGTATTTGGTGGTAGGTAAAGGATACTCATGTTCTGCAAGTTCAGATGGCTTGGAATATCTGGCAGCGGGATGTGCGCGCTGCAGTTGTCAAGAAGCAAAACAACCTTTCTGTTTGCCATGCGACGATCAAAAGATTTGAGCCATTTTGCAAAAATTGCTTGGGTCATCCATGCCTTGGCATTGTCTCGAAATGTGCATCCAAGGTTTGCCTGGTTGATGTTTTTGAAACAACGGGGATTCCTGTACTTTCCGATTATCCACAGGGGCAGCTTGTCGGAACCATCCCCGTTGCAGCAAAAAGTTAATGTAATCCGCTCCTTGTTTTGCTTGCGACCTTCCAACTGCTTGGTCGCAAGTGAATTATCCGCCTATTTAGGATATGCTGTATGATTAGCAAACTAAGCATGAACTCACCGCATGCGGTAAAAGAGCCCTTTTTGGTCAATATTGTAAATATCACACAGGTCATACTTGTCGAGAGTCTCCTTGATCGCAGGCAGAGCATCATTGACCATAGCTATGTCAACGGAGCCTCTCCCCCCAAAGCGACGGAAAGAGCGAATTCCATGGCGTTCCTTGAATGCCTCGAGTCAGCCATTTGAGAACTGGAATGGCTGATGTCCGGTGTACAGACGGTCAAGAAAATGGGCTCCAGTCTCGTTGAGGAGATCTCCAGACATATTGACCTGGTCTTGATATGTCGTGAGCCACTTAAAAAGGGCCGATTCCATGTTTGGATATT